TCCCTCCCCCCACCACTCACGTGTGCGCACACTCTCGCTGGCAAATTTTCTTTCTTGGCTTTTATTTTTAAGAATTATTTTATTTGACTTTATTTATTTATTTATTTTAATTTGACTAGAAAGGGATAGGGTAAGAGAGAGAGAGAGAAAGAGAGGAAAAGTGAGAAATCAAGCCCCAGGTCCAGGACTCAAACTACAGTCGGCCATGTGGGAGTCCAGCACCCTTAACCATCATGCCACCTGCTGGACCTCTGGCAATTTTTTTTAAGGTAGATACTGGATCCAGCAAGTGGTACAGTGGTTACTGGACTCCCATATGACTGATCGTGGTTGGAGTCGTGAATCCAGCAGCTTAAGACTCATGCTGGGTCCTCTCTCTCTCTCTCTCTCTCTCTCTGATCAAACTGAAAAATAATAATGATATAACAATAAATAAAGTTAAATAAAAATAATTCTTAAAAAAAAAAAAAAGACTCATGCTGGGTGTATGTGCATACATCTCAAAATCCCAGAAGGATAATGGAAGAGAAGGGATTACAGTGTGGTCATCCATCCTAGCGGATGATTTCTCATTTTCTCTGTCAGCGAGCACACATGCCCTATGGCAAAAACCTTTTTAAAAACTGAAATACTATTATCTCAATTTTAGAGGAAACTAAGGCTCTAAGAGGCTACAGAAATCCAAGATCACCCATAAGAACACCATGGAACTAGATTCAACTTTTAACGTTAACCCTTTGACTCTAAAACCCATGTGCAAGGACAAAAGACCAGTCGTAGACTAGTGAAAATATCTGCAACACAAAGAGTTAAGTTTTCCAACAATCAAGGATACCAACAAAATATATATGATAGAAACAAATAGGAATGCAATTTTTAAAAAATGGTAGAGAATATAATTAAGCAGTTCACTGAAGACGAAATGCAAATGACCAATAAATATTTTAAAAGACTCCGAACTTCACTAAGAGTCAGAAAAATGCAAATTAATTAGATACTATTTCTTGCTCATCATCTTGAGCTAAAAAAATTTACTTTAGTCAAGACAAAGCTCTTGAGAGAGAGACAGAGAGAGAGAGAGCACGAGAGATGAGTACTCTCCGCAGGGCCGAGGGATACACGATCCCCTCCATCTACCCTCCAGTCTACCAGGATCCTGGGCGCACCACACACTGCATGTTTTCAGACTGAGCAGGCTGAAGACTCAACCTCTATCAGCATAGTTTCCAGCTCTGCAGTCTGGTATGCTACTGGCTGTGCCACAAAGGCTAAGCCTAAGAGTCATTTTATACATGAATGCAAAGAGAGAACAACTATAAGTTTCACTATGCTCAATTAACCAGACCTTCCTTTTTTTTTTTTTTTTTAAATTGCCAGAGGGTATATGACAGAGTGACAGAGAGAGAGACAGGGAGAAAACACCCCCAGTGGGGTGTGGTCATGCTGCAATCCCTTCCCTTCCATTTCTCCATCTTGTCAAGATTTGGGGGCACTCATGCACACATGCACAGTGTAGTTTTCAAACTACCAGATGGATTCAAACTGCAGTTATCCATGTAGGATCCAACTTCCCTTAACTGCCAAGACACAGGACCAGCCTCTGCCTATTTAAAATCTGAAGTGAGTACTAGCCAACATGATTCTACTTTTAAAAAGTGTTTTTTCTGGGGGGAGCAGCAGGTGACATGGTGGTTAAGGGCATTGGATTCCCACATGACCGACCATGGTTCAAGTCTCAGACCTGGTGGCTTGCTTTCTCACTTTCCCCCTCCATCTCTCCCTTGCTCTGACCCTCTCTGGTCAAATTAAAAAATAAAATAAATGAGTAAGTAAATAAAGTTAAATAAAATAATTCTTTAAAAAAGAAAAAGTGTATTGGTGGGACCGGCAGATGGCATAATGGTTATGTCAGTGGACACCCATGTAGTTAACCGTGGTTCAAGTCCCAGACCTAGCAGCTTAAAACACACTAGGCATTGGCATGCATGCCCAAAATCCCAAGAGAAGAATGGAGGAGAAGGGATTGCAGCATTGCCATCCCTTCAGGGGGTGATTTCTTGTTTTCTGTCTCTGTCTCTTTGGTGAGTGCACATGCCCTATAGAAAAAAATCTCCCTTTAAAAAAAAGAAGTGTATTGGGGGATCAGCAGTTAGTATAATGGCTATGTAGCTGGACTCCCATGTAGATGACTGCGGTTCGAGTCCTGGACCCGGTGGTTTAAACTCATGCCAGGCGCGTGTGCGTGTGTGCCCAAGATCTCAAGAGGAGAAGGGATTGTGGTGTGGCCATCCCCCCTGGGGGGTTGATTTCTTGCTTTCTGTCTCTCTGTCTCTCTCTGTCTGTCTGGCAAACGCACACGCCCTATAGCAAAAACCTTTCTTTAAAAAAAAAAAGTGTATTGGGACCAGTAGATGGTATAATAGTTACGTCACTGGACTCCCATGTAGTTGACCATGGTTCAAATCCCAGACCCAGCAGTTTAAAACTGACATTGGGGGAACCAGAAGTTAGCGTAATAGCTATGTCACTGGACTCCCATGTAGTCGATCATAGTTTCAGTCCCAGATGCGGCGGCTTAAACTCATGCCAGGCACATGTGTGTGCGTGCCTATCATCCCAAGAGGATAATGGAGGGGAAGGGATTGCGGCATGGCCATCTCGTCTGGGGGGTGATTTCTAGCTTTCTGTCACTCTGTCTCTCTCTGTCTTTCTGGCAAACGCACGCGCCCTATAGCAAAAGAAAAAAAACTCTCAGAAAAAAAAAAAAGAAACTCACATTGGGTGTCTGTGAGTGTGTGCCCGAAATCCCTAGAAGAAAATGGAGAAAAAGGGATTGTGGTGTGGCCATCCTCCTGCCGTGGGTGATTTCATGATTTCTGTCACTCTGTCTCTCTCTGTCTCTCTGGTGAGCAAACGCACCTAATAGCAAAAATCTCTCTCTCTAAAAAAAAAAAAGATGTATGTACGTAGGGGCAAGCAGATGGTGTAGAGGATAAGGTGGTTTGAGTCTCGGACCTGGTGGCTAGAAAGAGACACTTGGGCCCATGTCATGCGTGCATGCCCAGGATCCCAACAGAACAGGGTAGAAGAAGATTATGGCATGATCATCCCCTCTTGGGGTTGCTTTATCACTTTCTTGCTCTCTCTTTCTCTTTTTCTGCCTTTCTCCAGTGAGTACACATACTCTATAGCAAACTAAAAAAAGGGAAAAAAAAAGAGAAAAAAGCATGGGAACCAGCAGTTAGCGTAATGGCTATGTTGCTGGACTCCCACATAGTCGACCGCGGTTCACATCCCAGACCCGGTGGTTTAAAACTCATGCCGGCGCGTGTGCGTGCGTTCCCGAGAGGAGAATGGAGAAGGGATTGCGGCGTGACCATCCCCCCTGGGGGGTGATTTCTCGCTTTCTGTCTCTCTGTCTCTCTCTGTCTGTCTGGTAAGCGCACAGGCCCTATAGCAAAAAATCCTCTCAAAAACAAAAAACAAACAAAAAAAAAAGTGCATAAGTTTTTTAAAGAATTATTTATTTGGGGCCAGAAGGTGGCATGGTAGTTAAGGGCACTGGACTCCCACATGGCCCACCCCAGTTTGAGTCTCAGACCTGCAGCTTCCTTTCTCACTTCCCTCTCTATATATATGGTCAAATTAAAATAAATTAATAAATAAGTAAACAAACAAATGAAGTTAGATAAAATCATTCTTTTATAAAAAATATTTATTTATTCAATTTTATTTGTTATTATTATTTTTTAAGTTGACCAGAGAGAGAGAAAGGAAAAATGACAAAGCAATCTGCCAGGTCCAGTACTTGAACCATGGTTGGCCATGTGTGAGTCCAACACCTTAACCACCACACCACCTGCTGGCCCCAATAGTACAACACTTTAGCATCATGTTCTGAGTCTTCAGTCTTCCACTGCAAACTGAGACATGCCAGGTTCTTTCTTCCAGACCTGGCTAATCAGCTAGAATTAAATAAGACCCTGTTGAGATACTCAAGGTGCTAGGGTTTCCCTAAGTCCCCATAAGGAAACACGAGGTATAAGATCATGAATCTTTCCAGGAGTCCCCATAAAACAATGTCTTCCTGTCTGTCCTCCAATACTCCAATACATTTTTTAAGGTAATTTTTGCTATAAGGTATGTGTGCTCGCCAAAGAGAGAAAGAGAAAGTGAGGGATGGCCACACCACAGTCCCTTCTCCTCATTCTCCTCTTGGGACTCTGGGCACACACATACATGACCTGGCATGCTTCTCAACCTGGGTCCAGGACTAGAACCACATTGCTGGCCGTGTGGGATCCAGCCACCATTTGCTTCAAATAGCAGATATCATACTTTCATAGCTGAGTAGTATTTCATGGTGGCATATATACCATATTTTCTTTATCATTCTTCAATTGTTATGCATACAACCATGTACAGTTTAGGGCTTTCCATAATACTCCTCCATATAAAGGAAACTGTAGGGACCAGCAGATGGCATAATGGCTATGTCGCTGAACTCCCATGTAGTCGACTGTGGATCTGGTGGCTTAAACTCACACCGGGCATGTGTGTGTGCGTACCCAAGATCCTGAGAGGAAAATGGAGGAAAAGGGATTGTGGCATGGCCATCTCCCCTGGGGAGGGATTTCTCACTTTCTGTCTCTCTGTCTGTCTCTGTCTTTCTGGTGAGTGCACACGCCCTATAGCAAAAACCTCTCCAAAAAAAAAGATGTAATGTGATAATCCACAGCAGTTTATTCCTTCTTGAGAAAAATGCAGCTGCTAGAAAGTTCTCCCAAAAATGGAACTAGAATACTTTACGAAATATTTTGAAATCTAACCTCAGTCTTATCACCTTTTAAGCTACAGAATAATTCAAACTTCTCTTGTCACAAGAGAGCTCGTGAAGTATAGGACCTTCATATTTTTTCTTCTATCTCCTATCGCAGCACTTTACACATTGAAAAAAAAAAACAAAAAACTAAATAATCTTCCTCCATCACACATTAATGTACGAGGGATGTGGAAAGGTGATGTATTTTATTGATTTCATATAGTGCCTTTCACGCTCTGTTTTAAGGGAAAACAGTCAAGAAATAATAGCTAAGAACTGAGAAATTCAGAACATAAATACATTCTTCTACCATGATCTTTCTCACTTCTGTAAGGCATTCTCATTGGCACTTCAAACAGATTAACGTTGGTGGGATATTTCACGTGAGCAAAGCTAGACTTGGGCCACGCTGCCCAACTGTGGTGGGAGAGTCTGCCCTCGGGTGAAAGCGTCTTCTCACCTCCAGGATCCCCTGGGCTTTCGAGGCTGACTCAGGACTTCATATGCAGCCTGGATCTCCAGGAAGTGCCTCTGTGCTTCCTCCTTCTGGTGCCTGTTGTGGTCAGGATGCCAGACCTTCACTAGCTCCCGGTAACTCTGATGTATTTCTTCATTTGTCGCCCCTTCTGAGAGGCCCAAAACCTTAAGGAAACAGAAGCTGACAAATTAGACTCTCCCAAGTTGTCAGGGCACCTGGGCCTCCCCTCCTCCTTTGCTAAATCAGGCAGTGGTATCTCCAGAATTGGCTTTTATTGGGTCATCAGAAAATTCATTTTTGCAAAGAAACACACACAAAAAAAACACATCATGACTTTTCCAATGACCCCACATTTGGGCATAGAAAGGCCCAGAGCCTCTCATTACAATTCCAGCCTTTTGAAACATGGACAAGCTCTGGATCTCACGGGAAGAGCCAAGATTTGCCTTTAATCACAACTGCCCATTTTCCTGGAACTTCACATCTTTGAAATCTAACCTCAGTCTTACCCCCTTTTAAGCTACAGAATAATTCAAACTTCTCTTGTCACAAGACAGCTTGTGAAGTATAGGACCTTCATATTTTCTCTTCTATCTCCTAATGCAGCACTTTACACATTAAAAAAAAAAAAAACTAAATAATCTTCCTCCATCACACATTAATGTACGAGGGAAAGAAGTATGTATTGGGGCTGGCAGGTGGTGTAGTGGTTAAGGCACTGGACTCCCACATGGCTGCCCATGGTCTGAATCCCAGATCTCGCAGCTTGCTTTCTCTCTCTCTCTCTCTTTCTGTCTCTCCCTGGTCAAGCTGAAGAACAATAATAAAATGAAATAAGATAAAATAAATCATTCTTTAAAAAAATAAAGAAGAAGTATGTATTTATCCAACAAAGACATGTGTGGGACCAGCAGATGGCATAATGATTACTTTGCTGGACTCCCGCAGAGTCGACCATGGTTCAAGTCCCCAACCTGGTTGCTTAAAACACTCTGGGCACATGTGCATGCATGCCCAAAATCCCAAGAGGAGAATGGAGAAGAAGGGACAGCATGGCCATCCTCCCTGGGGACAGTTGCTCACTTTCTGTCTCTCTCTGTCTCTCCAGTGAGTGCAAGAGCACTGTAGTAACAATATCTCTTAAAAAAAGAGAGAGAGATGTGCAAGAATGTTGATGAAGCTTTATTCATAATAGCCCCAACTGGAAACAACCCAAAAGTACCTTCACAATAAAGTAGATAAATACATCATGGGGGCCAGCAAGTGACATAGTGGTTAAGGGTGCTAGACTCCCACCTGGCTGACAGCATTTCAAGTTCCAGACCTTGCTTTCTCACTTTCTCTCATTTTTCTCTTGCTCTCTCTGTCCCTCTCTGGGCGAATTAAAATAAATAAATAAAGTTAAATAAAAATAATTCTTAAAAAAAAACTTTTTAAAAAAGGGACCAGCAGTTAGCATAATGGCTATGTCGCTGGACTCCCATGTAGTCAACCGCGGTTCGAGCCCTGGACCCGGTGGCTTAAACTGATGCTGGGAGCATGTGTGCACGTGCCCAAGATCCTGAGAAGAGAATGGAGGAGAAGGGATTGCAGCGTGGCCATCTCCCCTGGGGCGTGATTTCTCGGTGGCGTGGTGGTTGAAGGTGCTGGACTCCCACATAGCCGACCATGGCTCAAATCCTGAACCTGGCAGCTTGCTTTCTCACTTTCCTTCTCTCTCCCTCTCATGCTCTGTCCCTCTCTGGTCAAATTAAAATAAATAAATAAATAAAGTTAAATAAAATAATTCTTAAAAAAAAACCACTGTGGTATAATCATACCATGGGATACTACACAGCAACAAAAACAATTTATATTTGCATGCAACGGTATGAATAAATTTCAGAAACATAATATTGAATGAAAAATGCCAGGTACAGAAGAGTACATACTGGGTGATTCTATTTATTTGAAGTTCAACAACAGGCAAAACTAACCTATGGCAGGCAGTGTAGAGGTTATCTCTGAGGACGGGAATATAAACTGGGAAGAGGCACGAAAGAGCCTTCTAAGTGCTAGAAATACCCCATATGTTAATCTGAGTGCTGTGTATATAAAATGAATGCACTTTATATATTTTATACCTCAATAAAAAGTAAAGAATGTACACGTCCATTTTCCCCACTCACGAGTAGAGCCTCTATAACCTTCACTCACTGGACTCAGAAGCCCACAAAGGCCAGTCATGAGATCAGACCTTCCATGGGAATGGGTGCACTAGTGCCAACAAGGCTTAGCCCACTCCCAGAGCCAGCCCAGACGGGAATGAGGGAACAAAGTCTTACCTGGTAAGCCAGCTGACGCTTCTCATCCTGAAAACTGTGAACAAACTCATAGAGCTTCTCCCACTCCTGGAAGAAGCTGCTGCCGAACACAGGATCCCCCACCAGGAGCCTCCAGATCCGGTAAGGCAGAAGGAGGGCAGTTTCCATGAGCCGGCCAAGGAGGGGGAAGAAGCTGAACCAACTCAAGACAGAGCCGAGGGCTTCTGCCACATAGCTGAGGGTGGCGGCTGTATTGCAGAGGGCGCTGTATGCCAGGGGGCCGGTGAAAGCCAAGTAAGCCAAGCCCAGCCGGTAGAGCCGCACGCTGAGGGTCTCGGCCTCCACTGAAGCTTTGTAGCGGCGGTGCTTCTGGGCTGTGATGCTGGCGGCCAAGCTGATGGGCAGGATGGCTATGGGGCGGCCATAGAACATAGGGGAAGTGAGAAACGCTGCCCCTAGAGTGTTCTTAAAGTCTGAGGTCTGATTGCCCACAGCAGCCACCAGCAGGACCCCTAAGCCAACTGCCAGGGGGAGGCCCACAAGGTAGAAGCTGGTCATGGAGGAAAGGCTAATCAGAGCGACGAGGCCAAAATAGATGCCCACTATCAACTGGGCAGCAAAGCGCATGGGACTCAGAGGAGGTGTTCTCCCTCCTGGACTCTGCCTCTGCCCCTGGGCTCTGTTGGCCTGAGCTACAAAGCTTGGAAGCTTCCAGAACTCCCAAAGCCAGCCCAGCCCACCACCCCCCAGGGTAAGCATCCAGAGCAAGGCGTGACTATCCCTTCCCAGGTACAGGTGGTGGAGCCCAGCAGGGCCCCCAACAGCCCAGAGGGCATAGGTCACCAGGAGCCCCTTGGCCATCCTCTAGGGTAAGGGTCTCAGACAAGTTTGGTGGCATCTGACATTGCTCAGAGTACAGAAATCTCAGGGTCCTCTGTGACAGTCATGGCCATCTGGCCCCAGAGTTATCCTTAGACCCTAAGGGAGAGAAAAAAGCAGTCATAAGACCAAATTCAGACCCCATTACAGTAATGCCTCTTTCCAAAGAACTCAAGCCTAGATCTGTCTGAAATGAGCCCTGAAATGCTAGTTATCCCATTCCTTTGTTCTAGCACCTTCCACTCTGTTATCACTCTCTCAGTTTTTGCCACAGGTCACGCGTGCTCTTTGGAGAGAGAGAGAGAGAGAAGGAGAGAAGTTGTCTCCCAAGGTGATGACCACACCACAATCCCTTCTCACCCATTCTCCCCTTGGGATCCTGGGCACACATGCACATACGGCTCACATGTTCCCCAGGCTGCTGAGTCAGTCTTGAGCTGCACAGTCGGTTAGGATCCGGCCACCCGAACTATCCTACCACCAGCTGGTCCTCTCTCTCACGTTCAACTTTATTTACTTCTTCTATGAGCAACAGAGGTAGACAGACAGTACCCCCAATAGGGTCCTGATGCTGTGCCCCACCCTCAGCCTCAGCCAGTATATCCCTAGAGGTCTCCAGTCTAGAACCTGGAACCTTCCATGTGGGCCAGCTTCATGGTACTGCTGCACCATGATCTGGTCCCCTCAGTCCAGCCCCTCTATCCTGTTCTTTACAACCATAGAGACTCCAAATTTAGGAAAGAAGAGTGTTTTAAGTCATCTCAATCAAAGAGCTGAGGACTCAGTACACAGAGAAAAGCAGAAAGGCTGAAATGTCAGCCCTTCCCTCAGACCACTGACCCGGAACGACTCCCAGAGGGCTGGTGTGTGTGTGTGTGTGTTTGTGTGTGTGTGTGTGTGTGTGTGTGTGTGTGTGTGAAGGAACTGGAGCCTTTCCAAACTGGTACAGATTTTGAAAGCCCCTGCTTACCTTCCACCTAACTCTGACTATGACTGCTCTCAGAAACCTGGCTGGTTTTTTTCAGGTTGGGGTTTTCTCTTCCTAAAGTTTATTTACTCCCCGTGGGGGAGAGACAACACCTGTCACAATCTTCAGGCTGCAATCCATCCCCCAGCTTCTGCCAGTCTGGGGCAAGGGCACAAGCTGCCTGGCACACTCAGGGAGGTCCTTGCCAAGGGGGTCAGCCTCAGTGTTGTCCTTCAACGTTGCACCATCATCTGGGCCCTGGCCAGACTGTAGGTGCCCCGGGCTTCCCAGTTCTCCAGGCCATGGAAATTTCCCTCGGGTCAAACTTGTAAGGGGTCCCGAATTCCCTCCACATAGACATTTTGGAAAACTACACTTTGACCTAGACTTTACCACAACACAACGCAGCCACCTCCTTCCGAGGCTGCGTCGGAAAGTCTCTCCAAAACGGCTGGACGAATTCTCCGACTAGCAAACTAAGTGTGGAGGCTGCCTGCCAGTTCTCCCCTCCAGGTGGAGCGGGCCTCACGGCCACCAGCCAGTACCCAGAGTCCACAGCCAGTACCCAGAGTCCCGGGTGGAGCGGCCGTACCTGCACACCCGGCTCCCAGACCAGTCGTTTCCTCTGACCACAAAATGGCCCCTCTCGCTCTGCTCCCACTTCTGTCCAAATGGACTTTGTCTTTCTGAGTCGGCCGTGTCACGGAAGTCAGGCTGCCGGGGCCAGGCCCCTCCCCAAGGGCCTGCCCGGCCCCCACCCCATCCACCCCAGCCCCGGGGCCACCTTCCCGCCCGACTCCTCCCGACCGCCCTCGCAGGTAAGCTCCGGGGAGGGCTTTCCCGGCGCAGCCAGCCTCACTGCGGCCGGCGCAGCGCCCCACCCCGGGCCGAGCCTCCGCGACCGCCAGGTGGCGCTGTCGCTCACGGAAGGGCGGGTCCCCAGACTCACCTTGTTAGATGCGGGACGCGGGGACCAGGGCGGTCCCTACCCAGGGGCTGCTGGCAGAAGCAAAGAGGCAGTCCCACCGGTAGTGCTAAAAAAGAGACTTCCAAAAACTCAAACAGGTTAACTGCCCTTCTCACCCCTAGAAATGGAAAGGTGACTCCTCACTTCCGACTGCACGCTCCTCTCAGCACACTCCGTCGCCCTTCAAGCCTTGCCTTGGGGTGATTCCATTTCAAATTCCACTAAGGCGAAGACACACATGGACAGGCTGCAGAGGGGGACCCTCTCCAAGGTTGCCTCACTGCCCCGCCGCCAGGCCTTCCAGTTAGGGGGCTCGGGATCTAGACTTGAGCCTGAGACGTGAGGGGTCTCCAAATGCAGTGGGAACCCCAAAACTGCTCTGCGCCGCCGGCTAGGGGCAAGAGGGAGAAACAAGAGCAAAAAAGGCTGAAATGCTCCCCCCGAAAAAGCGAGGCGCAGCCCAGGCCTCCCAGGAGAGAGAGATCTTCGTCTCCCCGCCTCTCCACGGGATGGAGCTGGGACGCAAGATGCTTCATCTCATTGTCCCGGCCTCCAATCGTGGGTTCTGCTCCGTGACCTTGGCCAAGTCACGTTGCTTCTGGGGCCTCAATTTTCTCCTCTGTGAGGGAGGAGCTGAGATCCGACATCTAGTCTTGACTTCAGGCGGCCTTCACAGGTGTCGCCCCCTCAGTAGGCACAGTGCTTCCATTCGCTCCGAACGCCCGGCCTCCTCGGCCCTGCTCCCAGGAGGGACCCTGAGGGCGCAGTGAGGGGCCCTGACTGGAAGGGGCCCCAAAGCTACACGGTCGCCGCGGGCTGGGGGCGGGGGCGGACGGGGCGCTGAATAATGAATGAGACTTAATTGGGCCAGGCCTGCGCTGCGGCGCGCTAAGCTCGGCAAACAGGCCAGGCGGCGGCGGCGGGCCCTGGACAAACAAACTAGCGCCCGCGCCTGGAGCAGGTGGGGCGGCGATGGCGCAGGGAGGGGGGAAGGGGCAGCCCCCGGGGCGCCTGGGCGGCCGCGCACACTGGCTGCGCTGCCCCCTACCCTCTGCAGCGTGGGGGTAAGGAAGGGGACTCAGGGCTCGATCTCAGGAAGCAAGGAAATGATGCGGATTGTGTCGGGAGACCCAAGGGCCCAAGGGCAATGCACGCGCCAAGAAAAGATGGAGAAACGAGTGGAGGGCGGAGAGGGAGAAGTGAGCGAGGAAGAGACGCTCCGGGAGGGGCGGCGGGTGGGTGGGGGCCGGAGAGCCGTTACCGGGCGGAAAGGGGAGAGCG